CCCTTCAAAGACTAGGTGAAGCCAAATCAATGGAACCAATGTCTATGAGATTTTTATTTAGGTAAGCACACCAAGTTACTTTAGTATAGAGGAAGTAAGGGTTGTCAAACCTCAAGGACTTGAAAGATAAATATGATTTCTCTTATTCTTGCTGAAACTTGTTGAAATAAAATTTGCAAAGGCAATTTGAAAGGCGAGAATAGGGAGCTCTATTTTTAGGAAATTATCAGTTTGCCAAATTCGACTGGGATTAAGTACAGATACCTCATAACATGCAGGTATATTAGGTAACGTATCCGCCATAGTTTCTCACTTTCTTTGATACATGAATTTCAATTTTTCTTGTTATAGTGGTTTTCACATTCAATTTTTTCAATTGTGACCAACACGAGTATTGTTTTTATGTATGGTAACAAAAAAACAAATATAGGAGAACACTCGTTCTAGCTATACGTATCTATTTGAGGTGGCTCTTACCTGTGTAATTTCTTATTATTGCCATATGTTGTTATGTATCCTCCTCAATTATTTCAAAGGAACAATTGTAGTAACGATTTTCCTTTTTTTCACTATTTTTTTATTTTATTTAACTCATTACAGACGTAGTGCAATCGACACTTGTACATCAACTCATTATAGGGGATTGGACAATTTTACCTCATTGATGTTTTTTTTTCTTGATTTAATTTTCCTATATATTTTAATATATATTTTATTTCTCATACATTTCTTTTTAACTTATTAAGCATACATAATATAAATTTTATGTATTTCTTTTCAACCAAATAATTAAAATTTTACTTTGTTCCTTGTGTATTTTCACTCTCCCGTTTCTCTTTCTTTTTTTATTTCTTATCTATTTCTTTCTTCTTTATCAATCAGACCTTATAATAAGATACATTTAGAACAATGAATAAGTATTTCGGGTTTATTTTGCTCAAAGGGTTTGAAATTAGGATAACAATGAAAATTTTAATTTTTTTATAATTTAAGTAAAATTTGATATTTCAATAGGTAATTATGGAGTAAAAAATATTTAAAATAAATAAATAAATTTAATTTTATTATATTTTTATCATAACCATTTTGAACATATAAACGGATGTTGTCCAATTTTTCGAACCGTACAATATTGGTACTTTGGAGAAAACAAATACGTAAATCCGCATCAATGTACTTAGAAAAATACTCAAAAACTTTATCTAAAACCCAAATAGAGTATTCCTTCATGCCCATGAAGAACCCAACTCTCTAGCTAGGGACCACCATTAGGTTTGGATTTTCCTGGGGAGTGGGGAGGAATTGGTCTATTTGGATCGACCACTCTGTTCTCGCTTGGTCGACCGAGGTGGCATGGGGTACCTTCATGGTTAACTTAGGTGGGTCCATCCTAAGTAGGGTTATTAAAGTACTAAGTGGTAGAGGTGGAAGAGGAAGATAACATGAAAGATTTGGACGAATAGGAAAAATCAAATGAAGAACTTGAAGAGATAATATTAACTTCTATTTCACCTAGGAAATAAGACTCCACGTTATTGATTGAACTCTTAAAAAGAGGATAAGAAGAAAGTATCTGATAGGTACTTGGTTCTTAGCTGCTTTAAAGAAAACGGGAAGATGAAAAGTTCTTAGAGTATTCGGAAAGCAAAAGGTTGTAGGTAATTGCTTATAAGGGCTAAGGGACGCTATTTATAAATGTAAAAAGCTCTGAAAAATGAAGCATCACACCTCTCTAAACTGTTAGATCTCTTCAAGATCAATAGATATGAAAGGGATGCAACTCTTTGTATTCCCGCATCGGTCCAGCCTTAGGTTTTCCATGCCATCATTACAAACCTGAGTTGATTGGCGTTACGTATTCCAAATGATGATGTACTCATGAAAGCAATGATTTCCAAATTCAAAAGCAAGAAACAAAATTCTTCCCATCACGAAGAAAATAAACTCTTCTCCTAAAAGAATCAAAGACTCGGAGGACTTATATATTGGATAGGTCCAGACTCTCATACTAAGGACTTGTCGACCCCTATCCTAATTCAAGAAGGATGTTCTTTTGTCTACATAGTAAATGTCCAAACACTAATCAACAGGTTGAGCATGTAGTACTCCTCAAATCAAGCACTCCTCATCGTGTCAAGCACCCTTGGTGGTTAAGTCTAGGAAATAGTAATGTCAAACTATTACACAACAGTAAAAGATCTTGAATGTCTTAAAATGTCCTCATTCTTAAAATTATACTTATGTAGTCCATACATATGCTAACTTAGGCATCTGGTTCTCTTTTGCAAGTACAATCACAAATCTGAAAACCAAAGACTAAGGCTCGAAGACTTTAGGAAGAGGTTGAATACTTTTTCGAGCAAGTATAGTTAACATCGCACACTTTTCTTATTCTTCTTATACATGTGACTTATTTATTTTATTCAAATGTTATACAACAATTAAATTGTTGGGTGTGAGACATTGATTAACAAATTGAATAGAGTTTGTTTGTTGTAGTTTTTTCGTGAGCTAAAAGAATAGGCAAAAAGGAAATATCTAAATATTATTAATGGTATAATAGTTTTTGTACCTTTTCTCGCTCTTTTTGCAGGTTAATCATGTCATTATACAATTTATCTTGATGATTTAAATATTTTTAATTACAATATGCATTTTTCAATAATTACTAATATCAGTCATAATGCTTTATAAATTATAATTTAATGACACATTCAATACTTTTAAACTAAAAAAAAAATTGTTGTATATTCACATTATTTCTCTTTATTTCATATGTATGCTATATAACTTTTACAAAATTTTATTCATCAACATTTCTTTTCAGATTCATCTTCCTTATCACATACTAGCCAATTTTTTCTTCATTATTCATACTCAAACTTTATTGATATACCTCAATGGACATTGATAATTAAATTTTAGACATTTTATTTTACTTTTTTTGTATTCTCTAAAATTTTTTGTAGTTGGAAATTTGGACAAACTTCATCCAAAAAAATTTGAATAAATATAGTATGTTTTATTGTTCATTTCTCTCTACCCTGCCTTCTACGTACGTAGATGGTGTTCACGATTTAAAAATATAGGCTATAAATTTTTTTAACTAATAAATGAATAATTATTTTTTATTATATTTATTAATTATTAATATAAGGCTAAAACCCTATTTTGGTCCCTTATAATAATTGTTTGTTTCAATTTAGTTCCACTTTTATTTTTTGTCTCAATTTGGTCCCTCATAAGTTAATTGGTTTCAATTTGGGACTTCCGTCTAAATTATTTAAACGGAGTTAACTATTGGTCACGTGGATGCCACGTAGATGCATACGTGGATGCCACGTGGACGCCAAATTCTGTGAAAACAATTGGAACCAGAACGGCCCGTTCTGAAACCAGAAAGGGTCGTTCTGGATGCACTCTTGGTGTGTTAATTTTGCATCTGAAACGGGTCGTCCTAGATGCAAAATTAACACAACACTAGTACATCAGAACGGCCTGTTCTGAAACCAGAACGGGCCGTTCTGGATTCAGAACAACCCGTTCCAAGACTGAGAATAGAATATTCTCTATTAATTTTATTAAAAAAATATAATAATTTTGAAAAATATTTTTTATGGTAAAATTTTTTAAATTATTTATTTTTATAAAACACAATTGTCTTATAAATAGAGTAATAACTTTTTCTTTTTCTCTTTCTGTCTGAAGAAATATTTAAGTGTCACTTTATAATTTTTTGCAATTTATTTAAAATTAGAGGAATAAAATGATAAAAATTAATAGGATAAACATAATAAAATTATTAATTTATTTTCTTTTAGTGTCCTCTAAATTTTTACATTCATTTAAAACAAAAATATTTTATATGTTAATTTGAATTAATTTAACGAAGTATCATATGATTTTTAATTTTTTAAAATTTTTTATAAATTTGATCTATACATGAAAAACTTTTTAATTTAACAATTAAATTCTTAAAAATTTGATATAGAACATTAATTATTAAATAGAATAAATCTATCAAGACTTATAATAATATATATTTTATAAAATTATTAATATTTTATATATAAGGCATTTCATCCTTTACTGTATAGTGTCAATTTGGTAATAAGTGGTTCACTTCAGTTTGAAATGAAATAAAATCTGTTACCATTGTCTTTAGTGATACATTGCATTGTCCTTAATAATATACTGTATAGCCTAACTGTTTAGCAATTGAAGTTATCAATTTCCATTGACAATATTACCAAATTCAATGTTTGAAATGTTTTGTACTTTGGGTCTTTTTCCTTCCATGATTCACAACCGTGAACTATAATCATTGATTGTTGATACTTAGCAGTCTGGAACCAGAACGACCCGTTCTGAAACCAGAACGACGCGTTCTGGTTGCACTTTTAGTGTGTAAATTTTGCAACTGGAACGGGCCGTTCCGGATGCAAAATTTACACACTAAAAGTGTAACCAGAACGGGCCGTTCTAGTTCCAGGTGTTTTAAAAAAAATTGGCATCCACGTGGCATCCATCTATGCATCTACGTGACATCCACGTGGCCACACAATTAACTCCGTTTAAATAATTTGAACGGAAGTCCCAAATTAAAACTAATTAATTCATTAGGGACCAAATTGAAACCAATTAATTTATTTGGGACCTAATTGAGACCAAAAATAAAAGTAAGACTAAATTGAAACAAATAATTATTATAAAGAATAAAAATAGATTTTTAGCCTTAATATAAATACTCTATAGTTATTTTAGAAAAAGAGAAAGTCAAAGAGTGAAAAAAGGAGAGGTAGAAACTTCCATGAGAAGCGGTGGGACTAACGATAAGTTAGGGAAAGTTTGAACGGTTGAAAAAGGTTGGGGCAATGGTATAAAAGGGAGGGTGAAGGCAGAGGAAGAGCAACTATCTTCTTCCTCTCTTTTTATTGGAAGAAGATAGGAAAGGGTTAATTACTATTTAGGGAAGGATAATAAGAAGAAGAAAAAGGAGAATGGGTGGCAAGGCGATGTTGATGTTGATGCTATGCATGTTGGGTGCTGCATCGGTGCGGGGCGAAGACCCATATGTGTATTACACATGGGACGTGTCGTACGGGACAATTGCTCCACTGGGAGTGCCCCAGCAGGGTATTCTTATCAATGGGCAATTCCCGGGACCAGAAATAAATTGCACGAGCAACAACAACATCGTGGTAAATGTGTTTAACAACCTTGACGAGCCATTGCTTATGACATGGCACGGAATTCAACAGAGGAAGAACTCATGGCAAGAAGGTACACCGGGAACAACATGCCCTATCGCTCCGGGGACAAACTACACGTACCACTTCCAGGTGAAGGACCAGATTGGAAGCTTCTTCTACTATCCTTCAATAGGATTGCACAGGGCAGCGGGTGGTTTCGGTGGCCTTAGAATATTCAGTCGTCTGTTGATTCCCGTCCCATATCCAGATCCCGAGGCTGAGTACTGGGTCTTGATGGGTGACTGGTACAGCAAGAGCCACACCATCCTCAGGAAGTTCTTGGACAGCGGTCGCTCTATTGGCAGGCCAAACGGTGTGATCATCAACGGAAAAACCGCCAAGGGCGATGGCTCTGATGAACCTTCCTACACCATGATCCCTGGCAAGACCTACAAATACAGAATCTGCAACGTTGGTCTCAAGGACGCCCTAAACATTAGAATCCAAGGCCATCCCATGAAGCTTGTCGAGTTGGAAGGCTCCCACGTTGTGCAAAACGTCTACGACTCTCTTGACGTCCACGTTGGGCAATGCTTCACCGTGCTTGTCACTGCCGACCAGCAGCCAAAGGACTATTACATGGTGGCCTCCACTCGCTTCACCAGGTACACTCTAACCGGCAAAGCCATCATCCGCTACACCAACGGCGTGGGCCCTGCCTCTCCGGAGCTCCCTCCCGCCCCCCAAGGCTGGGCCTGGTCTCTCAATCAGTTCCGCTCCTTCCGTTGGAACCTCACCGCCAGCGCTGCCAGGCCTAACCCTCAGGGCTCATACCACTATGGTCAGATCAACATCACTCGCACAATCAAGCTCACCAACTCCGTCAACAGACTCCAGGGTCTCCGTTATGCCCTCAATGGCGTCTCACATGTTGATACTGAAACTCCTCTTAAGCTGGCTGAGTACTATGGTGTTGCTGACCAGGTTTTCAAGTACAACATCATCTCTGATGAGCCCCCCGTGGATCTAAAAGCCATCGTCAACGCACCCAATGTCATCAATGCCACTTACCGTGACTACATCGAGATCATCTTCGAGAACCATGGAAAAACTGTTCAATCATACAATTTGGACGGTTACTCATTCTTTGCAGTCGCGTGAGTATACTTACTTTTTTCATATCCATTAACTTTGTTTTTGTTTTTGTCTATATATAATTCTTTGGTACATGCATGCAGCATTGAGCCAGGCAGGTGGACCCCAGAGAAGAGGAAGAACTATAACCTTTTGGATGCCGTGAGCAGACACACCATTCAAGTGTTCCCCAAGTCTTGGGCCGCCATCATGTTGACGTTCGACAATGCTGGAATGTGGAACTTAAGATCTGAACATGCTGAGAATCGCTACTTGGGGCAACAACTCTACATCAGCGTTTTGTCCCCTGAACGTTCCCTTAGGGACGAGTACAGTCTCCCGGATACCCAACTTCTTTGCGGCATCGTCAAGGATTTGCCTAAGCCGGAGCCATACCATATGTAGATTGCCTCCCTTCCCTTCTATCTAGTTATGCCTTTCGTATGTGATTATAAATCTCATTTCTATGCCATGCGCTGACTGATAGTGATATGTATCAACCCTTTGTTGAATTCAATTCATTAATTTCCTCCTTAATATTACATCATCACTTATTTATTTTTTTTCAAAATCAAATCAGAAAACAATAAATATGTTCACCTTTTTTAAGAAAAACATAGACAACAGGGAAAAATACATAAAATCAATGATGTGATAAAAAAAAAAAAAGCTAAAAACCTAGTTGGTTCTTATAATAATTGTTTGTTTCAATTTAGTCCCACTTTTATTTCACTACAAAAAAAAAGGATTTTAGCGACCACAAAAATCGGTCGCTAAATTACTTAAATCGGTCGCTATTTACTTTAGCGACCGAATTAGTGACCAATTTAAAGTAGTTGCAAAAACCCTGGTCACAAAGTTGTTTAGCGATCGAAATACTGGTGGTCGCTAATTGGTCACTACGATTATGGTCGCCATATTATATGGGGACCAAATTCGACCGAAAAAAGGTCGCTAAATGTGTTATTTATTTTTACATTTTTTAAATAATGATTTTCCTTTCCGTCGCTAAGTCGGTCGCTAACTTTTTAAACTAAAAAATTATTTTTAATTTCGGTCGCTAAATCGGTCGCTAAATTTTATTATTTTAAAAAAATAATTTTCATTTCGATAGCTACTAAGTGTATTTTTTTTATTTTTATTTTAAAAATAATTTCTGATTCGGTCTCTAAATTTTATTATTTTTAAAAATAATTTTCAATTCGACCACTAAATCGGTCGCTAAATTTTATTATAATAAAAAATTAACACTGCCATATCTAGTGGACATGAGACTCTTCCAAAGGGGATCGAAATTCTTTTGAAAGAATTTGATGATCTATTTCCTCCCAAGGGTCCAATGGGCCTTCCTCCTTTAAGAGGGATAGAACATAAAATTGATTTGGTGCCTAGGGCTAGCCTACCCAATAGGCAAGTTTTTAATATTCTTAGGAAAAATCATATTTTTGGAAATCTAGAAAATGTACCTTTGTGTAGATAATGTAGTTTTTCTAGGTTTTATTATTAGTAAAAAAGGGGTTCATGTGGACCCTGAGAAAATCAAGCCCATCCAAGAATGGCCCACTCCTAAGAGTGTTGGAGACATTAGGAGCTTCCATGGGTTGGCTAACTTCTAAAGGAGGTTTGTACCTAATTTCTCCATACTCACCTCCCTATTGAATGAATTGGTTAAGAAAACTGTGGAGTTTATATGGGGAGAAAAACAACAAAGGGCCTTCCTAGCTTTAAAGGATAAGCTCACCCATGCACCACTTTTAGCTCTTCCAGATTTTTCAAGAAATTTTGAGCTAGAATGTGATGCCTCTAGGGTTGGCATAGGGGTGATTTTGTTACAGGATGGGCACCTAATTTCTTATTTCAGTGAAAAACATAAAGGTGCCTCTCTTAACTACCCAACCTATGACAAAGAGCTTTATGCTTTGGTTAGGGCCCTTCAAACTTGGGAACACTACCTTATTCCCAAGGAGTTTGTCATTCATAGTGACCAAGAGTCACTAAAGTATTTGAGGGGTCAAGGTAAACTTAATAAAAGGCATGCTAAATGGGTGGAGTTCTTGGAACAATTCCCATATGTGACCAAATGCAAGAAAGGGAAAAATAATGTTGTAGCTGATGCCCTTTCTAGGAGACATGCTTTACTAGTCTCCCTTGGTTCTCAAATTTTGGGATTTGATCACATTAAGGAGTTGTATTCCAATGACTCTGAGTTTAATGATTATTATACCCAATTTTTCGCAAAGCCTCAAGGAGGTTTCTATATTTCTAAGGGGTACTTGTACAAAGAAGGAAGAACATCTAATTACACTATAATCTAATACTATAAAACTCTACAATATCAGCACAAGGAGAACATCATCATAATCATTATCATTATCAAGGCATCATCCAAGTACACAACAAACAAAACACTGTCAGAGTACACAACAGAATCATGATAAGTACATAACTCACGGCCGATTGGATCGACCTGCTCTGATACCACTTAATGTGACACCCTCTACCCCAACATACATATATAGTAATTATAAAAATATAAAATTTTTCATCATTAAAAATCAAATTTCCAACCATGTAAGGGTAAAGAGTTCACATTCATAAACTTAATCCAAATAACATGTCGGTAAAATTACAAAGAAATAAAAATGAATTTTCCAAAATGATTTAATAAGAACATCTTAAACTAATCCTATCTATGTCCCGATGTCACATGTCCTATCAGAGCAAAA